AATTGCTGTGTTGGCCCGTTCCGCCGCCCCGTTGGTACAAGGATGGTATGCGGAGCTCAGTCCCTGTGTGGTTCCGATGCTTGCGAGGAATCGACGCCAGAATTGGGCCGTGAATTGAACGCCTCGGTCTGAAATAATTCGACGGGGCGCTCCATGTAGTCGATAAATGTGTTGCACAAACAATTTTGCTAACCTTCTTGCGGACGGCAGTCCCTTGCAAGGGATAAAGTGCGCCTGCTTCGAGAATAGGTCAACTACCGTCCATATGACCGTGTAACCCCTGACGTTTGGCAACTCAATGATGAAATCCATCCCAATGTCCTGCCAGGGCCGAACTGTGTTAGATACCGATTGTAGCAATCCCATTGGTCTCTTCGGTACCACTTTCGCCTGTGCGCAAATATGACATTCCTTGACATACCGCTCAATGTCTTTCCTCAAGCTCGGCCACCAGAACCGGCGTCTCACCAGGTGTAGCGTCTTTACAAATCCAAAATGACTTGCCACCTTGGAGTCTTGGCATTGGTGGTATACCCGATGACGCAACTCCTGAGGGATATATAACCTATTCCTATACCAGGCCAATCCATTACGATGGGTTAACAATCCGGGATTTGCCTGTAGCCAAGGATCGGTCAACAATACGGACTTCAGTTCCTCCTCAAACGTTACTACTTTTGCGCACCCATCCACCTGTGCGGAATCCATACTACATGGCGGCATAATAGCCTGGACCACCTGTTCCTTTTTACTATCGTATTGCGGTAGTCGGGAGAGTGCGTCTGCTAGGAAATTCTTTCCTCCAGGCACGACTTTCAGGTGAAATCTGAAATGCTGAAAATACTGCGCCCATCGAACGTGTTTCAGCGCCAATCTCCTTGGAGTCTGGAGGACCGTTAGGTTCTGGTGGTCCGTCCACACCTCGAAGGGGTACTGTGCACCCTCCAACAAATGGCGCCAGGTGGACAATGCCCATTTTACTGCAAATGCCTCCTTCTCCCACACCGCCCACCGTCGTTCTGTGTCGGTGAATTTTTTGGAGGTGTATGCGCACGGTTGTAGTTCACCCTGCTCATTACGTTGCATCAAGAGTGCTCCGACGGCCACATCACTGGCGTCGGCCTGTACAACGAATGGCCTACTCGGGTCAGGGTGTATTAACACCGGTTCCTCTGCAAATAGTCGTTTTAGAGACTCAAAGTCCTGTTGACAGGCCATAGTCCAATCTAACGATTGTTTCGGGTGGGGTTTTCCAGTTGTATTTTTGGTGCATAATAATTGAGTTAACGGTAGGGCCACGTCAGCGAAAGAGGGGATGAATTGTCGATAGAAATTGGCAAACCCCAAGAATCTCTGTAGTTGACGATGGGTTCTCGGGGCCTGCCATTCTAATACACTGCGTACTTTACTAGGGTCCATTTCTATCCCTGCTGCTGACACTCTGAATCCTAAATAATCAATGCGATCTTTGTGGAACTCGCACTTTGATAATTTACAGTATAGGTTGGCATCAAATAATTTTCCCAATACCGTCCGTACTAATTGTACATGGTCCTCTAACGTCTGTGAGTAGATGAGTATGTCATCCAGATATACAAGAACGCCTCTATATAGATGGTCATGCAACACTTCATTGATCAGCTGCATAAATACAGCTGGCGCTCCTTGTAATCCGAAAGGCATCACCTTGAATTGATAACTACCCAGTGGACAGTTAAACGCTGTTTTCCACTCATCCCCTTCTCTAATTCGTACCCTGTAGTATGCCTCACGGAGGTCTAGTTTTGTAAAGATTTTCCCGGCCGCCAAATGGGCAAGGAGGTCTTTCATCAGTGGCAGGGGATATACTTGTTCTATACACACAGCGTTCAGACCTCGAAAGTCTACACATAACCTTAACCCCCCATCCTTTTTCCCCTGGAATATGACGGGGGCCGCTATCTTCGAACGTGCTGACTCTATAAAGCCCCTAGCCAGGTTTTTATCAATGTATTTCCTCATCTCCTGCAATTCTGCGAATGTCATAGGGTACATCCTGGGTTTGGGTAGCTTGGCACCAGGAACAAGTTCGATGGCACAATCTGTCGGTCTGTGAGGTGGCAAACTGTCACACTCCTGCTCGCTGAACACTGCCGCGAGATCATCATATACCTGTGGGTATTGGACCTCACCCCTCTCCTGCACCGTTTTTGAGGCGTTTAATTTCCTATCCCTATCCTGGTCATACGGGGCCCGTGGTTGGGGACCCACTGCAAGCCTTAGATGCTGAGAGCCATCCGCCCACCAGATGGTTGGTGTCCACTTATCCATCCACGCCAATCCAAGAATAACAGATTCGGACATAGTAGGAACGACTATAAATCTTATAATTTCCCAATGACCCCCTATATCCATTCTGACAGGTTCTGTCACCAATGTGGTTGGGGCCCCTCCTAACAAAGAGCCATCCACCTGCTCGAAGCGAATTGGAGACTTTAGTCGGGCCACCCTAATCCGCATCTGTTGCACTACTCCCTTACTGATTAGGCACCTGGTGCACCCTGTGTCTAGTAATGCCGGAAAGGGCATCGACTCACCAGTAACCGGGCTTGTCAACGTGATCGGGATGGTGAAGGGGACGATGGGTTCACTCACCATTGGATCCTCCACCGACCCTTCCTCCTCGTATTCCTGCAATATAGGGGACGCATCATCGGGGGGTTGCTGGATGGGCGTCTGTCCCAGTTGGTAGGCAACCCGTGACTTCTCTGCTGTTTTCTTTGGTGTGGCGCCTGGTGTACCAATCGCCGTTGGTGTACCTATTGGCTTGGGTATTCCACACTCCGCAGCCCAGTGGCCCGGCCGGTTGCAGCGGAAGCATCTGAAGATGGGCCTTGGACGTACCGTACCCGGCACGGCCTGCGTGGCGCCATCCACGGGCTGGTCCTGATTCCGGCGGGGTCTATCCCCACGCCCTCCAGGACGATCCCGCAACCCAATGTCCAACTCTACTGCTGTCCTAAACCAATCGGCCAGACGCCCCACCACCCCCCTGACTATACATGCTTGACGTATGGTGGTATCCAGGCCAGTGCGGAAGTGGTGAATTAGCAAGCTGTCTGGCCATGACCTAAGTCTCCCTGCCACCTTTTGGAACTCGCGAATATATTCCTGCACTGGTCTACCCTTTTGCTGCAAACCCACTAACTGGGCCTCTGCCCGTTGTAGGCGTGTTGGGTCCTCAAACCTCGTTTTCAGTGCATCGAGGAAAAGGCCCACGTCAGCTAGCTCCCTAGCCTGGTCGCTATATAGGTCTGCGGCCCAAGCAGCGGCCTCTCCTTGCAAGCTTGCAGTTACCGCGACCACCATTGCCCAATTGGACGAGTACAGGGTTGTATAACGGTCCAGATGGTTAAGTACGTGGCTAAGGAATACCGCCAGGCGATCTGGATCTCCGTCGAATGTGAGTGAAATCGGTGGAGGATTCCATATCATATGCTGAGGCCATGGGGCCGACACCTGGCCACCATACGGGGCCGTCTCTGGATGCGCCATAGGACGGGATCCTGCTCCCAGGGATCCTGCCCCGTCCCCATCAGGACCTTCCGGTTGAGCCCACACTCCCCGTGTATCCAGTCCATACCGTGGGCGCTCGGTTCCGGTTTGCCTTGCCACTGGGTCCCGGAGTGTAAAGCGACCACCTGGCTGTAGTTTAAACTCTGGGCTTGATAATTGGAAATGGGACACATAAGTTGGGCTGTCCTTAGCAGGGCTGCGGATGGTAGCTGGATAAATACGTTCCCTGAATTGTTCCCTAAGAACCTCTAACGTATATTGTCCTGGGGCTGTGGAACAGCTCCAGTCCTCTTCATCATCTCCGGTCATCCGGCGTTCCCTCCAGCCGGTGAAACTGGGTGTCAATCGCCGTCCCCTACCATCCTCCGGGAGGCCTGAGGCTGAACTGAGCCACCATTCGCCGTCTGCCGACGTTGGTCTGCGCTGCCTGGTCCCTAGCTCCGCAGCCGCAGGGATGCGTCCCCTCTCCTTCGGGCGCACCACTGGCTGCTCCTCCCCCCCGACTCCGGCATCCGGGCTCTCCAGCTGCTCGTCGGCCTCTGTAGGCTCCTCGCCAACAACCGGGTCCTCTCCCTGTGTCCCCTCGGCCATAGCTCCGCAGTACCAGCTGGCCGCGAAGTGAGTGTGAGAGCTGACTTAATGTAAGAATGTCCTGCTTGTGCGTGAATCAAACAAGCCACCAGGAACGTTGCAGTAGTCAACAAGGGTTTATTGCTCTATGTTGAAAACAAAGTCAGCCCTGGGAAACTCCCCGTCCCAGTGTCCTAAATACAACCCATCACCACACCCACCGCGCACGCCCCAATTATCCCAATTACCCCCGTAGATTACAACCCCACCCACACCACACCCTGTCTCCCCATGTGTCGTCCATCGGTTCCATAGCGTAGCGGCACAACCGCGCCTCCGTCCCGCCCCATCTTCCCAGAGACCACGTCTTGTCAGACCCAGCGTTATAGTTCATCTACAGGTCAGCGTGTCCGTCCCGTATAGTCCCGGTATATCCTGTTCTATCGTTCTCCATACTAATTGGTCACGTGGTCCGCTCGTCACTGTGGAGGCGCCGGCAGCATCCCGGTAACGGCGCCGTTGATTCAGCTTACACAGGATTGCTTGGAGGAGCATGTACCATTCAACGTCTGTAAGAAGGCCGGACTCTGGACCACACACAGGTAGGACTCACGCTGGGTCTGACAGGCACCAACAGTATCTGGAAGGCTCCACTTTTCTATCCCTGGGTTAGCCTAAAATGGGTAATGGCTCTAAGTCTCCCATTTAACTCAGTGGCTGAATGCACATTTGAGTTTGGGTCTCCTCAGTCTGCAACTCTAAATATTATATTCCATTTAAAAATGGTGAAAATGATAATCTGATCAACAGAATGAAAGAGGAACATGCTCATTTTTTAAAATTTATTAAGCAGTCAAAATGCATGATGGGCATAATGCAAGCAATGATATTTTAAGAGAAATCATGGTAAATTCTGCAATTTATTAATGTCAGCCATTTTGAGAAGATCTCTTTCCTCCAATCTTCTCTTCTTGTTTACATTTTCTATGATCAGTTTGCAATACAGTTATGGATGTATGATATGCAGATACTTTTCTTTGTCAGTTTAAATTACTCTTAGAATTTGATAGTAGAAACATCTTATATTCTCTGCAGGAGTAAAACCGCAGCAGGATTTTGAAGCTTACAAGATGACACACCAGGTACGCTATCACGCTTTTAAATCTATCCCTTCCCTCCCAATCATTTGTTCCCACCGTAAAGAATTAAAGCAATTATTCTGAGGATGATTTATAGGAAGAGATATATTAAAAGCCTAGAAAATGGTTTCATAAACATAAAACCATGCACAATTGATAATGGAGAAAATACTATTGCTTATTGGAAAATAGATGCAGCAATTACATTGGACTGAAATGCATGGCTAATAAAAATGCAAAAGGTAAAGAAATTGGAGTGAAGCTGTGAAAAGTCCATTGAGTCACATCTATTATTCTCATTCCAGAGTATCGCTTCCTTCCATAAGATTTTGTCCAGAACAATTGTGTCCTTTGAAATTGCCATCAGATAGCAGTTGTTTCTGAAGACCCAATTGACTCAGCTCAGTTCTACATGACATACCCCTAGCCTCTAAAGTTTTTCTTGTTTCAGGTAGCCATAGAACTAATAAATAGTAATTGAGACTAAGAATAAAACCATCCAGGATAAACAAACAACTTCATCAAGCTATCTAAAATCCTAAGCAAAATTACTGCAACAAAAAAACTAGAAAGGGAGGGGGGACTGTTAAGATATAGCTGGATCAATAAGTAACTTCTGCGACTTCCGGTTTGGGTTGCAGTGGCTGTAAGCACATGAAGAGGCTCTCTCTCTTTGTTACCTGCTTTTCCTCTGCCGGTAGACCCTTAATCAGGTCGAAAAGTCACCCTGGAGGGGTGACTACTGATGAGGAGGACTCTCGTTGATTGTGGGGGGAGGAGGCAGCTCCTTCCGCGGTCCGAGGCAGCTCCTCAGTGCCGACGGAGAGAAAGATCGACCAGTAACATGGTCAATTATTTAGCTGCTTCAGCTGAAAGTCAAAAGAACATCTAAGTGTTAAGAAACCATTGTGGATGATCCCGGTGAGATTTTTCCCTCTCTCCTTCTGCCTAACTACTCTCCTGTCAAAAGCCTTTTGGAATTACTTCCCTGCTTTGAAAGAGCTGCCTTTGTTTATCTGGGGAAAAGAGCTTTCTATAACAAAGGAAAAAACTTCTTATTGACTATTTTTACTTTTGGTTACTTGGGGGCCCTGGAAAAATCCTTGTCATAAAACTTAATTATTATATCTTCTAAGCTGGAGAATACTGTCTTCCTATGTCTTGGACTTACTTTTTTAAAGGGATAAATCTTTATTGTTTGAAAAAAACAACAACTCTATGAGAAACCGGAAAAGAGACTCCATAGCTTTGACTTTGCTAATCTCATTCTTGATGTCTGGAAGAGACTTTTATAATTTATTGAGGACATCTTGTGGAGAAATTAAACTGTAACTGTTTTTTGTTTGTGTTACTATTGAAATGGAGAAATCATACTCACAATTCAACTGTAAACTCATACTGGAAAAAATTTATGAAGCTTCTGAGGAAATATGTTCCCAAATAAGAAAGAGAACTACAGAAATAATAAACAGAAATTCTACTGTGAATTTACAAACTGACCTGCAGACTCTACTTGATCATTCTACAGACCAAAAAGCAACAGAAGAAGAATTAATTTACATACTACCTATGGAAACTTTGGGTGACCAAAAAATGATTGTAACTAAACTATTTACAATTGCAAAACTAACAGAAATGGAATTGAAATCCTCCGCGCTTAAAGGGACCGGGTGAGTTATTTTTAAAAGCGGACAGAGTTGGATAAAGGATTTTTCTTATTGGATTTCATTTGGACTTTAGTTTGAAAGGTTGACCTTTATCTCTTTTTCTTTTTCTCTTTTTTCTTCATTTTTTCTTGCGTGGAGAGTGAAAGTAAAATGGCGATTGGAAAGTTTTTTTCTTGAAAAAAAGTGAGTGAAATGGAACGTTATGGATTAGATGGTTTTTTTTTTCTTTAAACTTTTTCTTAAGGTGGATTTGTGTTTTGGGAAGATTTTTTTTTTTGTTAAACTCTCCTTTGTTATTTTTTTCCCTTTTAAGGGATTTTTTATTTTTTTCAAAGAAGGAGGAAAGAAGAAACAAGATTTTTTCTTTTTCAAAATGGCTTCAAAGAGGCAAGCAACTTCTACAGTACCTAAAGTGGCTTCTTCTCCTGCGATTTTACCGGCACAACAACCTAAAGCTACACCATCACCCTCTCCTCCTTTGCCAGCAATAACGGTACAAGATATGAAAGATATAATGGGAAATGCTGTAGCTCAAATCAGAGGGGAAATGAAGGAGCTTTTAGAGCAGAATAATACTATTTTGAGGCAAGATATAGTTATGGCCTTAACAGGACTTGCTTCTGTGGTTGAGAAGTTGGATTCTAGAGTGGAAGTGGTGGCAGATAAGGTGGATATTTTGGAAGATAAATTTGAAGGCATGGAAAAAAAGATGGAAATTTCACAAGATGACATTGTTATGTCCCAGTACAGAGAAATGGAGTATGCTTTAAGAATCAGAGGCCTGAAAGAAGACATGCAGCAAGACTTGAGAGAGATTGTGGTAAATGACTTTGCTGCTATTTTGAATAGAGAGAAAGAGGAAATACTCAGAGAAGTTGAAAAAATATTTAGAGTTAACTCTTGGGTTGCAAAGCAAAGAAATTTACCAAGAGATGTGGTAATTTACTTTGGGAAGAGATCTCTGCGTAATGAAATTATACAAGCTTTTTACAATAAGAGGTTTCAGATTGCTGCTCAAGATGTCATCATTCTAAAGGAGATCCCATCCAAAATTTTAAGAAGGAGAAAAGAGTTTGCTTTCTTAGCTAATGAACTTAAAAAAAGATTGATGCCATTCAGATGGGAGATTCCGATGGGTATTGTTGTGAGCCATGCGGGGACGCGTTATAGACTTAATACAGTTTCTAAAGCAAATGAGTTTTACAAGTCGGTCCTGGGAGCAGGCTCACCATCACCTATGATGTAGAAAACCTTGGATGGTAAAGAGGTGGAACAGCAGTCTGAAGAAGTAGTATTGATGGATGCTGGAAAGTCACAGGCGGAGTGGTTGCAACAAGCAGAGATTAAAGAGCAAAGAATGACTAGCGCAGCACATAGACGTAAGGAAAAGGAACAACAGAAGAAAGAAGTTAAAGAAGTTCCTCAAGAATTTGCTTCGGTGTCTGTGGGAGGAGCAAGACCCAAGAGTTCTGCACCACATTCCTCAATGGCAGATCTTCAAGCAGTCTTCTCCAGGCTTCTGGTTAAGGGAGCTGGTAAAGCTCCTGACATGGAATGCTAATGGTCTTAATTCCCCTCAAAAGAGAAAGAAAATTTTTCATTATTTAAAGCAACATAATGATATTATTTGCTTGCAGGAAACACATATTATATCTAAAGATCAAAAATATTTAGTTAATGCTCGTCTGGGATCTCATTTTGTATCTTTTGCTCCTGGGAAAAAAGGGGGAGTAGTTATTTATGTTAAGCAAAACTTATCAGCCTGTTTGGTAGAATCTGATCCTTAAGGGAGATATGTTATGATTGAAGTTGGTTTGTATGGTAAGAAAGTACTTATCGTGGGACTGTATGCACCAAATCAACAACAGGAACAATTTTACAGACTGTTACATCAAAAATTAACTTTGTTGGATTATAGATCTGTTATAATAATGGGAGACTGGAATGGTGATTTAGATACACAAAGAGATAAAAAAGGATCCTCTATTTCCTTTAAACAGGCTAAACTACCTAAAGCTTTTTTTGATTTGAAAGAGGATTGGGAGCTGCGAGATTATTGGCGTGAACATAACTTGGAGGAGAGAGACTTCACTTTTTTTTCAGATAGACATCAATCTTTTTCAAGAATTGATTTTTTTTATTACAACGGATTTATATTTTAGGGTAAAGAATGTTAAAAATTTTCCCAGGACATTGACGGATCACAGTCCAGTTTGGATGGAATTGGTTGATGAAAAAGAGGAAAGGAGATCGTGGAGGATGAATGAAAATTTATTTAGACAAGAAAAGAATGTTCAAAAATTAAAGGAGCAATTAAAGGATTATTTTGTTTTAAATATGCATAAGGGAACTTCAATGTCAATGGTCTGGGACGCAGGCAAAGCCTACATGCGGGGGATTTTGATACAAATGAATAATGTTTATAGACAGAAGCAGATGCAGAAATGGAAGGAGTTGGAAGATGAGATTAAATTAAAAGAAAAAGCTTTGATTTTAAATTCTATAGATGAGAAGGTTAAGGAATCTATAAAATTGCTTAAATCACAATTTAATATGTTGATGGCTGATCAAACTGCAATTAATTTACTGTATATGAAACAAAATACATTTTGTAATGCTAACAAACCAGGGAGATGGTTGGCTTATCCACTGAGAAAGAAGCAGAGACAGAGAATTATAGATAAAATAAATTATAATGGTAAATTGGTATATCAGAAGGAGTTGATTAAGAAATCCTTTTTAGATTATTACCAAAAATTATATATGAGTACTAAAGTACAGGTTTCAGTTATAGATAATTATTTAAATGAAGCTAACTTTCCTAAATTAACAGAAGATCAGAAACAAGAAATTAATGTTTGATTACTAGTGAGGAAATTGAGATAGTAATTAAAGAATTAAAATTAGGTAAGGCACCGGGTACGGACGGTTTGACATCTATTTATTACAAAACCTTGGTACAAGAGATGATTCAACCTTTAAGTGAGCTTTTTAATAATATATTACAGGGTTCAGAGATTCCCCCGTCATGAGGTAGAGCTTTTATATCTTTGATTCCAAAAGAAGATCAAGATCTTACTTTACCAAAGAATTATAGACCTATATCTCTTTTAAATGTAGATTACAAGATCTTTTCAAAAATTTTAGCTAACGGGCTTATGAGGGTTTTGTATCATGTAATACATACCGATCAAACGGGTTTTATAACTGGAAGATACATGAAGAATAATGTTAGACAAATTATTAACTTATTAGAATTTTTAGACAAAAACAATCAAGTTTCTGCAGGATTGATATTTTTAGATGCTGAAAAAGCTTTTGATCAGCTGAATTGGCAATTTATGTTAAGATTAATTGAGAAAATGAACTTTGGAGAAAAAAATTTACAAGCTCTTGGTGTTATTTATCAAAAGCAAACGGCACAACTTATAGTTAATGGGGGTTTGTCAGAGGTGTTTACAATAGAGAAGGGAACCAGAAAGGGTTGTCCATTGTCACCATTGCTGTTTGTCTTAACCTTGGAAATATTGCTGATTAAAATTCGAGAATCACAGCAAATAAAAGGAATAGAAGTTAATAAAAAAGAATATAAATTAAGGGCTTTTGCTGATGACTTGGTGGTTACCTTATCTCAACCTACTTATTCTGTAATAGAGTTATTACATTTGATACATCAGTATGGACAGGTTTTGGGTTTTAAAATTAATAACAATAAGACTAAAATATTGCCTAAGAATATGACCAATTTGGATAAGCAGATTTTGGTTAATTTGACAGATTTTGAGGTTGTCAACAAGGTAAAATATTTGGGGGTTATTTTATCTGTTTCTAATGCAAAATTGTATAAAAATAATTATGAAAGGCTGTGGGTCAATATACAAAGAGATTTGGAAAATTGGGAGAAGTTGCAGTTATCTCTTTTGGGAAGAATTGCGGCGATTAAAATGAATGTTTTGCCAAAGTTTCTTTTTTTATTTCAAATGATACCTATTTTAAAGAATGAGGTTAATTTAAATGAATGGCAGAAAGGTATTAACAAATTTATCTGGGCAGGGAAAAAACCAAGAGTAAAACTTAAAATTATACAAGATATTCGTGAGAGAGGTGGACTCAAGGTACCGAATTTGAAATTGTATTATGATGCTGTGTTTTTAACCTTAATAAGTGATTGGGTTAATTTAACAAATGTAGAAATACTCCTC